TTTTACTTCACAAGGGCACTTGATTGTATAGCATCACGCCTGTGGCTTAACTTTCTTTCAAGAAAGGACTCCATTACCAAAAGCCTTTTAAATTACGAAAAATGGTGTACAAGTCAAAAACGGATTTGAAATTTTCCAAGTTCCTCAAGTCTAAGTGGCTTACTGATGTGAAAGATTACGAACTGAAGAAAAGAACCATTGTGGTCAACATTTCCAACACAGATGCAACTGTCTCGGGGCCGGAACCTCGCAAAGTTTTGCAGCCGAGAAAATCCACAATTTTGGAAGGTAACACCACAAGTTTTCCTGGATTTATTCGAGGTAGCACACATGAGAAGCACTAGCTATTTTTCGCCTTCTCCAAAAGAATTTCATCTTTGCAGAATACTCTTTGAAAACGTCGCATCTGAATACAGGGAACCGCCCCTTCTTTCCATTTGTCATGATGTCAGCCTTGCAATTTCATCGCTATTTCGGTCCTTTTCATAATACGTTGGTTAAAAGGTTTCCTTTGAAGTATTGCCAAAAAATAGGCTCTATAGAATAAAACTTTCTGGAAAATGTCTGAACTTATAAATTGATTTCAGGCGTACTGAAGATCGCAAACGCATTCACTTGCGTCAGCGAGTTCTTCAGTTGTGCAACAAAATCAACGTGCATGCTATCAGCTAGGGCCGTAGATTATACATTTACATTACACTTGTGCCTATACCAAAGGCTACACATCTCAGTTTAAATTGGAAAGGCGTAATGAATGGGTTAAAACTACTCAACTGTGACAAGAGCCTTGGTGAGAGTTATAAATAAGAATTATTAGTTATGAGAATTAATCTGGCGATCTCCGGTACAAATGCGAAAACGAAGGTTCAACGTTAATCCACAATTTTGGCAGGTAACACAACAAGTTTCTTGGATTTATTCGAAATAACATGCATAAGAAGCATTAGCTATTTTTCGCCTTTTCCAAAAGAATTTTCATTGTTTCATTTTACCCTTTGAAAACGTTACCTCTGAATACAGGGAACCGCCCCTTGTTTCTATTTGTCGTGATGTCAGCCTCGCAATTTCATCGCTGTTTTGGTCCTTTTCATGATACTTTGGTTAAAAGGTTTCTTTTGAATTATTGCCGAAAAAAATGGGCTCTATGGAATAAAGCGTTTCAGGAAAATGTCTGAGCTTATAAATTTATTTCGGGCGGACTGAAGATCGCAAAACGCGTTCGTATTGCGTCTGCGAGTTCATTCAGTTGTGCAAGAAAATGAACGTACATGCTACCAGTTATCGCCATAGATTATACGTTTACATTATGTTACAAATGCTACACATCTCAGTTTGAATTGAAAATTCGTGCAGAAAGAGCTAAAACTGCTCAACTGTGACAAGAGCCTTAAAGAAAGGTGTCAGAACGCAAGAACGACACGACATCTATAAATACATTCTAGCGATAATTAAAATTATCAGGTTATCCTTTGCATGAACGTGGAAACGAACGTTCACCTTAAAAAAAGTCGTTGTATCTCTTAAACTTTTATTTTTCTTGCATTCCGTGTAAACAATTTTTTATGAACAGATTTATCCCTAA